TTGGATAAAATATATTTCTGTATGAAACATTACGCGTTTGCCATGGAATCGGGATCAGAATTGGAATTTAAAAGAAAGATGAGTCGCGCCTACTATTGTATAGGTCAGGCTGGTGAATGGTACAGAGGAATAAACAACTACCTCAACAGAGCCACGCTGACAGAGTTCGACTCTCTGAAATTGGCGCAGCTCGGAATCTCTTACAAGGTGGAACATGCAAAGATATCAAGTCTTCTGGAAAAATACCTCTCCATTCAAAATCCTTCCAAGGATTTAATGAGAGTTGCTCTTGAAACTTATTACAGTATTAAAAAACAATTTAACGAAATAATCAAACGCATTGATAACCTCGCATTTAGTTGTTCGTTAAAAAAGAAAATTCAGGAAAATTGATTATCATATATCAAGTATTTTCTTTTATATTTACTGTTATGTCTTTATATTTAAATTACTGACATTTGTTTACACACAAATACAAAAACAATTTCTTCTCGAAACATCTTTTGATTACCACATGGATGATGATGATAAAACAGAATATAAAAAATCAATGAAAATTAATACACAACAACTCCTCCCCATTAAGTCAAACACCAATCAGATGTCAAAAATCTTAGTAGGCTTCCTTATTCTTGAGGACCTCCTCAAGACAGGCTGCGGAGTCACTGCAGGAGTCTCTATTGCTGGAGCATCTTGGGTTTCTTCGCTCTCAGGTGGCACTTGTGGAGTCGACGATGTAGAAGGCAAGGGTTCATTTTCTCCACAGCTCCTTACCTGATCCAAGTGTCTATTGATAACTCTTCCATCATCAGTTTCCACTTTAACTGAGACAGGACCTGTTTTTTCACAGACCACTCCAGGTAGCCATTTAGGACCATTTCATTTCTTCATTTCATTTCTTCCTTGAACAATTCCTCGAATTCAGGAGATATCGGATTACTTCCATTTATATTCAAGAAATTTATTTTTAAATGGAACGCTCCGAACCATTGTCTTCCTAGAATATTAGGACCCAGTCCATCAGCCACCAAAATTGTCATGCTTTTTGTGCAATTTGCGACTTTAGCCATCACATTGAGTTTTCCTAGAATTTTTACTTTATCTGATGCCCATGTTCTTAAAGAAACATCAGATTTACTAAGTTGCGTCATTTTCCAGTACTTTAAATAGGTTTCTTTATTCAGTATTGAATACATACTACCTGAATCTATTAGCATTGCTATTTCATTTCCATCTAAATTTGCTGTAATGTAGAATGGACAAATTTCATCATCTGTTTTGAGGTTATTCAAAGATGGATCACTAAAACTATTATTTTTATTATGTAAATATGTAAGGTGTTTTGCTTTTGTTAAACAAGCCTTTTGTAAATGACCTATTTTGCCACACTTAAAACATTTAGCATTTTGGAATTTACATACTTTTGGCAAGTGGTTGCCCTTGCAACGAATGCAAACCAGTTTGTTTACACTTTTTTCAAAACTATTAGAATTGACTTTATTTGGCTTAAACTTAGGCGATTCAAATTTATTTAATTTACTAATTACATTTAATTCTGGCATTTTTTCCTGTAGAATACTTGCATCTGCACTAGCCGATTCATCACACAGTGCCAAATTCACAGCTTTTTCAAAGGTTAAATCTTTTTCAGACAATAGTCTTTTAACCAGAAATTCATTTCTCAGGCCACATACCAGTCTATCTCTTAAGCGATCATCTAAATCAATAAATTCACAGTTTTCGCTTAATTTTCTTAGTTCAGCCACATAGGCGGATACAGATTCTGTGCCTTGATTTCTTTTATTGAAATGGTATCTTTGTACAATTACGTTTGGTTTAGGGCAGAAATGGCCAGTCAATAGCTTGATCAATTCGCTATAATCAATATCATTTAAAGGCTTAGGTGCGGCCAATGATCTTGCCAAAGAAAAAGTTTCAGGACCTATTAAAGTCAATAATATTGCCTTCTTTTGTTCAATTTTTTCAATGCCATTTGCCACGAAATAAAAATTAATTCTTTCGAGATATGCAATCCACCCTTCAGGCTTAGATAAATCGAAATTTTCAAGCTTGCCAAAACTCGCCATTTAAAAAATATTTCTACTTAAAAACTTTAAATATTTTATATTTAAAATTACTTACATATTCAATTAAGAATCGACATCCTCGTCGCCAATAATTGTTATGTCTTTATATTTAAATTACTGACATTTGTTTACACACAAATACAAAAACAATTTCTTCTCGAAACATCTTTTGATTACCACATGGATGATGATGATAAAACAGAATATAAAAAATCAATGATAATTAATACACAACATTTACTCTTTACGAAAATTCTGTAATTCTGAAATAGATATCTACATAAAGTTTGCAAAACTGTATTACTAAAATTAGAAGTTATTTTACGATTTTATTTCACTCGAGACACAAGGATCTAGATTATTCTTCTAATATTTTAGTGCTCTTTCTGACGTTCATTTTAAAATAATTTCTTATATCGTGGACATTAATGTTTTACTTAATAATGCACGAATATGAAAATTATATTTAATTTATATATGTCGATATGTATCTACGTGGATGCATACATTTTATAAAACTGAAAACAATTTTGTTTAGAATAATAAAACATATCTCAACATTATATTATTTTCTTATATTTTGAAACGTACATATACAATAAACAACAATTATTAATATTCTTATTGCGATTTCACCGCCACTCTGTGTTGTGAAACGACGATCTAAGTTCTATAGAGGGAGACGCTCACCTCTATTCTTGGTCGGCGGGTTTGAAGGTTCAAAATTGAGGTGTGGCTGCTTTATACCACTTTTATAATATAAGACAAAAACAGGAGGGAAAATTATATTTATTATAAATTAAGAAAAATAGTAAAAGTATTATTTAATTAATTATTTATATTTAAATATTTACACTAAAAGAATCGGGGATCAGGGCAAATCTTCCCTTTCGAAAGTTGTTTACAGGTTCTTCTGTTTTTGTTTTTCTCATTCTAGCCGCTGCATCCCCGTAGCCTCCTCCGTCGGCCTCCCATTGGCTGTTTTCAACTCCTCCTTTTCCAACAATACTACTTTCATACTGGTAAATAAATAACGGCGTAGTATATTTAAGCATTTGCTAATTTTGATATAATTGATGCAGACTGGATGAATCCTTTGGAATTCAGCATGGTTTTATAAATGATTAATGATCAAAATTTATCACATTTTATATATATACCTCAAAATGCTAATAAAAGTTTTAATCGTACATATATTTAATAAATTATTCACCTGTATAGAAGGGTTTCTGCTACCTGAAAACATGAAAATAAAACAGACTCAACCTCTTTCGAAAGCCTTTTTTTGTTATTATTATTAAATATTTTATGAGAATTGGACCATCTTAAAATTCTTAAGTTTTCGAATTATTTGAAATTAGATGTTAGTGTCCATAGAGTCGACTTTTTGTAACTATATTGACCAATTTGATCTGTTGGTGACCATCACTCTCTAGTGACCTTCCAGTAGCTTTCATGACCCCTTCCCCAGCCAGCTCTTATTGGAGGCCTTTCTTCTCTATATAAAAGTATTTAAACCATTTGACAATTCACGGGGTATATCAAGTAAATCAGGAATAGATTTGGAAGTTATAATACGACAATTATTACTTTATATTTAAAAAGAAAATGTTTCTTTTTCGTTCTGAAGCCCTATTCATGTAAAATGTAACACAGTACATGTGTGTGCTTGTAGTGATCAACAATATTCGAAAATCGAGCAGCCATAATCGTCGGGGCTTCTTCCGGCGCGCAGAACAAAGAGATGAAGAACATTCTTAAAGTCGCCAAAAACTACTATTTAACTTGTCATGAAGCAGTTTGATGAGGCCAGAGTAATAAGAAAAGGACGTAACCTTTTAAGAAAAAAGCACTAGGCTCGTTCTGAAAAGGTAAGTGGCGGAGAATTTGTCAAAGATAAGATTGATGGAGATCCTCCTGGAAGAGCATGAGAGTCATAGCCAAGGAAATGAACGTTTCGTCTATGACAATTGTCAGAAATATCCATAAGGACCTTGATCTCGAGTCTTATGGCCTTCAGAAAGTCCAGTAGATGACTAATAAATGAAGAATAAAACAAATGAAAGACTGCTGACTTCCTCAACATCCTGAACCAAACCAAACCTGGACCAAAATGTCAATCACAGGAATAATCGCTGGACCTCTCACAGCTGACTTTCGTGATGCACTCGAAACTTACTGATTCCGTGAGGTTCTTGACCTTATCAGCAGATAAGGTATGTTATGAAGGTGATGGGCCTTAGGACGAACGCTGACAACTACATCAATGTCCTGGAGTTTGTAAAGCCTTGTGTAAACATGGTGGCCGCAGGAAGAAAGTATGTCAATAAACATGACTCAGTCCATAAGGTAAAAAAAAAACAAAAAAAAAAAAACAATCATATCGAACACTTAACGTCCCCAGTCACGCCGGGTATCAGCCTGCATCCAGGTCAGAAGACGTAAAACGACATATTGACTTTAATTTGTGACGATCAAACTTGGGAATAAATGAATTGTTATGAATATTTTAATCGTTTTTCCCTATATATGTTCTTCACATACACCAATTTTTGTCTCAAAGTAAAACCTTCTTGATGCGTTGATATTATTGTTATAGAGTGTATATGGACATTACCCTGAAAAATGAAACAGAGTCGGTTTTCCAAATTTGACCAAGGATTTTGTGGCATATATTTTGATCCGAACCTTTGCATTTGCGCTTGGAAAATTTTAAAAAGTCTTTCTATAAATTTATGGATATGGAGATTAGAGGATAATATAGTATATATTGTGGAATACACATAGCCAGTAATGTTTTTATCTTCAGTACTTATGTTTAATGAAGTTTTTTTTGTCTTCTTTATTCGACATTTTCTCAATTCCGGCCTTTTTAATAAATTTAAAATTTTAAAAATTGTTTTTTTTTTACATGCCTTGGTCGGTGGAAGGCTGGTTAAACCGTTTGGTTTTCGACCACTAGGACCCCGGGTTCGATTCCCGCATTGGACACTTTTTTCTGTTAAAAAAAAATGCTCCAATGGCCCCCGATTCTTGCAAAAGTCCAACCCCATCAGCGAGTGCAAGTAACCAAACGGGGCTCTGGCATTTGTAAGTGCAAAGTCGAACTGCTTTTCACATGTGTAGACATGTGGTGCGCTTACAGTAAAAGCAGTCGCTAACTACCCACCATGGTTATCATGGCCTGTACCACGTGTACTAGGGATAAGCAAAAAAAAAGGGATAGGAATAGAAATATTCTTTACAATAATAAATCCGAGTAATAAAGGATTTTTTTTTCGAAATAAATATTCGAATATGTGTGAGCGCGTATTCATATAACTTAAACACATTTTTAAAAGTGAAGATTTTTTGTAAATCCTGATATGATACAAAATATTATTTATATTTTATTTAACCTTCAGACTAATTATATATCTAATTAACATTTAATATCTTGAAATATTCCGATACTTAAATGGCTAAAATGGAAATTTTTAAAGCTAAAATATATTCTTAAAATCTTCCAAAAAATAACAAGTATGCAAATATTTACTAATATATATTTGCATAAATGGCTTTAAAGAAAAAAACATTTTTAGAATAAAAAATATATAAATAGCTGAACAGTAGTCTACTTAAAACTTCGCCAAGTATAGATATCGCTTTTGCTGTCTTCTGAAAATAGTGTATTTTTAAAATAGTTTTTTTTTTTCTTCGAAGTTTTCAGCGACAGCTCTAGATTTTCAATGGCAGAGAAAGACAACTCAGTCTCCGAGACAGAATATATGGAGAAACTGAGTATATTTCAAGCTTATTTAATTGCAACTGAAGCGAAATATGAAGAATTGAACAAAATTCTCAACGGAAAATTTGTGATGGAGAAGAACGTTGTGGATTTGAAACAACTAAGACTTTCTTATGCTGCGGAACACAAACAGCTCGAAAAACTAGTAGAACTATGTCTTTCTACTCCTACTAACACCCTAAATACCAATATAATGGGAGCTGTTGACAAAGAATTTGAAAGGTGTCAAAAAAACATGAACGAGACCATGAGAAACCTTGAAAATCTTTCGCATTTTGCAATAGATAATTCTGAAATCGAAAACTAAACTTTAGTTTAGCGCTACAACTTTAAATTTTATATTTGACCAAATATTCATTTTGATCGCAATTGGTCTCTTCTTTCAAAACTTATCATTTCAAAGGTTTTACTATTTTATGTATATGTCCTGATAATGTCAAATCTTGTAAGACTCCGATTTATTAAAATATAATTTTCAATTTTATTTATTTTATATGAACAACCATATATTTAATGTCATCTGTACCTGGTATTAATACTTTTTGAATATCCAAATGTTATATAGGTGACGCTCTAGTTGAGCTTAGTTGAACTATGCCCTATTTTAAAGGATTTTTAAATAGGATATTAGTAATAATTTTTAAAATATTGTCAAGCCACAAGGTTTCAACATTGTAAATATGTGAAATAGTTATAAAATAGAAACCTGTGAATATAGTTAAGGACTTGCATTGTAATTAAGAAAAAGCTTCTCTCGCTGGCGGGCGGTCGCGTGAAACTGATCTCGCCGGCAGGCATGCGCGCGCACAGGGAAGTCACGTAATCGCCGGCAGCCAACGGGCGCGCGCCGGCAATCGCCTACTTTTTGTTCTAAAACGTTCTTTGAAAATAAACGCGCGGCAAACAACGGTCTTCGTTTGTTTTTAATTTTAGCTTTCGAGGCGTAAAAGAAAGTGACCCTACGCTCGCAAACCTAAAAACATATTTATATAATTTTATTGTAATTATTTCTTAAGAGCTATATATTGCAAGAAAAAATGTTGAAATCATAAACACCTGATATACGGGCTATTTTTTTGAAACGTCTTGGTGAGAAAATATTTTTCATATCTTTGATATATGATCTAGCTCGATAATATAATTATTATTGCTAAACTAGCCAATTTTAGAACAAACCTCTCAATTATACTAAGATTAGCCACAAGCAAAATCGCAAAATAAATTCGACATCTTTTGTTTGAAACTAAAACGGTACTATGGTCCTGAGGTTTAGTATCCGTACGTTTTGTAGAAATGAGCAAATACCAGCAGACACACGTTCGATATTGGAGTACAAATCTTGAGAGAGAAAGGAGCTCGGTTCAAATTTCCCCGTTTCACTTTAATAACTCCACAATAGAGAAAATGGCGTGAAAGAGCGACTATTTTAATATACATTTAAAATAAAATCGAAGAAAACTGTAACAAAAACGATAAGGCCATATGTACTGAACCATGAATTAAACTATTAAGGTAATATACAGGTTGGGCAGTTCTATATTTCTATTCAAAATGTTATGATTTTAGAAGGTACGCCAACAATTAACAAGTACAACATTTTATTGTAGCGGTAAACAAACGGCTTACAAACTTCTTTTTTTTTACAAGGGTGCCGAAACTTAAAGTGCGCTAGCTGAATTATATTGTCGCGGAGATAAAGCATGGAAAAATTTTAGAAATAATTAATTTATTATGAGGGAGGGTATTTACCTTTTAGTTCTTCTCAATAAAATTATATACAAGAGGTATTTATAGGGAGAGAGAGCCAAATAAAATAACTTATCCCAAAATAGAAATATAATAAAAAGAGTTTTTGCCACCGAGGCGTCTCGTTTTACTTATCTGCGGATAAGATTCCGAGAACCCCTCGCACCTGTGGTCGCCCCCCCCCCCCCCCCCCTCCATAATGGAGTCTAGCTATGATTGACAGGTGTCCCATGGAGCTTTCTGTGGCCGGGGTTGTAGAGCTACTTAACATTGCTCCCTCCTTAGAGAAAACAGCGACCCGCTGATTAGCTTGTCTCAGCCCTTGTTCTGGAAGGATATCTATCACGGCTAGTATTCCCTAGCAGAATGGAATGTTGTTCCTCAGGGTCCAGGTAGGGCTTCATCCGAAATACATGGACTACATCCTTCGCTGTCTGTGATCGGGGCGACAGTTCCACAGGCTCTACTTCACACATACCTTCTGAAAGCTTCTTGGTCACGTTGTAGGGACCAAAGTATCTCTTCAGTAGCTTTTCTGACAGTCCTACCTTTCAGATGGGAATAAAAACCCACACAAAACCATTCTTCTGGTAATAGGCTGGAGTCTGTTTCTGGTCGTAAACTCTGCGGTCTTTCGTGCGTTCCCTCGGCTCTGATAACAAGTTCTCCAACGTAGTCGTCAGATATCTGGTAGGTAAGGTAGTACGGCATCGATGTAGGTTTCGGCCTCGCGGGCGTGGACAAGAAAGAACGGAGTCCAGCGATGATTAACAGGTGTCCTATGAAGCTTCCTGTGGCCGGGGTTGTAGAGCTACTTGACAATATTGAAATATATATATATATAAATACTTTCAATGATTGCGCTATATATACAAAACAAAACCTTTTAATATATGTATATAATTTTAAACTTTCTCTCTCATTCATATATATATAGATATATGTGTGTGTGTGTGAAAATATGTTTTGAGAGAATATTTAAAATATATTGCAAGAATAAATGTTTAAAATTATATATATATATATATATATATATATATATATATATATATATATATATATATATATATATATATATATATTGTAGCGTTATTTGTTGTATTGTTTTACATAATTAAGTTTTAGATTTTGTTTGGGTTTGTTTTGCATATATTGAATTAATGATTCGTATATATTCGTGTATTCTTTGATTTGGGTATTCTGCTCGTTGGCAGCAATAAACGATTATTGTTCGATTTATCTTCGCCTGTTACTTGCGATTCTTACCGTGACAATATATGAAAAATAGTACAAATATGAAATCGTACTGAGATAAGGTAGATAAATTAAAATAAAGGCATCTCCTTATTGTAAAACTGAAAGTTGTTGATGGCTTGCGTCAACTATCGGAAAAAATAAACTATTCTGTTTATTTTTATTTTTTCCATAATTGGCTAAATACCCATTCTTATTTAATCAATAAAAGCTAACCACGTACCCGTTTCGGACTGTTGGCCCTCGTCAGCGTGGTGCAAGCTGTGCCGCAACGATCATTAAACAAAAACTGGGCATTTAGACACCCTGAAAAGTAATGAAACGGGTAATCGCGTTCTCACGCACTTCTAGCCTTAACTACCTGTTTCATGATTTTTCGCATATTTCGCATATATACAATATATGAGCGCCTATACATATAACTTTTCAAAATTTCTAAAAGTGAAGATATTTTTGTAAATCCTGATATGATACAAAATATTATATTTTATTTAGCCTTCAGACTAATTATCTCTAATTAACATTTAATATCTTGAAATATTCCGATACTTAAATGGCTAAAATAGAAAATTTTAAAGCTAAAATATATTCTTAAAATCTTGCAAAAAATAACGAGTATGCAAATATTTACTAATATATATTTGCATAAATGGCTTTAAAGAAAAAACATTTTTAGAATAAAAAATATATAAATAGCTGAACAGTAGTCTACTTAAAACTTCGCCAAGTATATATATCGCTTTTGCTGTCTTCTACAAATAGTGTATTTATACATATAGTTTATTTTTTTCGAAGTTTTCAGCGACAACTCCAGATTTTCAATGGCAGAGAAAGACAACTCAGTCTCTGAGACGGAATTTATGGTGAGATTGAGTGTATTTCAAATTTATTTAATTGTTGTTGAAAGGAAGTATGAAGAATTGAACAAATTTATAAACGGAAAAATTCTGAATGAAAAAAACGTTGAGGTATTGAAATTTCTAAGAGAGGTTTATTCTGCAGAACACCAATATATGACACGAATACTAGATCTATGTCTTTCTACTTCTAGCGATGCCCTAAGTACTAATTTATTGGAAGGTATTGTGGTAGAATTTTTAAAGCGTCGAAGAAACATGATGGAGATAATAAAACAGTTTTATATTTTTGCGACCACTGCAATAGATAAATCTCAAAGCAAAAACTAAACTTTGGTGGTGTAGCT